AAAAAAACTGTCTTGTAGAATGATCAGTATTTTGCAGGTCAGCTATGTCAAGAGCTTGGACATCTTCCTTGGAATGTGCTTCTTCATTGGTGAGGATCCAAAGTAAAACCTATCTTCGACATTTTAAGTCTACTGAAAACCCGATTTTTTGGTTAAAAAGATAATGAATCACATAGTAATGCCCTCACTTTGATTTTATTCGGCATTTGAACTTTTTACTCATACTTTAATGGATGGCATTTTTTTGGCAATTTTGTAAGAAGTATTGAAATATATTTTGCTTTCAGTGTTTGCCTCACTATTAGAATATGCAGCCATTGGCTACTTGATGAAACGGAATCGTTCTCTATTAAATGCATCTCCAGTACAGTATTACGAGACAGGAGATGGCGTCTTGAGAAGAGAAAGTACCCGGAAAAAATCTAAGAACAACAACAATAATAGAAGTAGTGTAAAGGTAAGTTCTGGTTTATTGGTTCTGTCTTTTTCTACTCTTCTTCTTGGCATCTTTTCGGGTGATTTGGAGCCTTTGCAAATGGTCTTCTTTTCCTTAAACCATAAGTCACCACTTCCCGTTTACAATCCGCTTGAGTTTGTTTACCCTGTGTTGTCAACGTTCTGATCTGGATACTTAACCCCATCTCGCCCACACTGCCAGAATATGCAACTCCCTGAAGACCTTATATTGACGCAGTTGGCCAGCGAACTCAAAGAGTAGTTTAGTTTTAAGACCAATTCCTACTATAGGGGCTACTATAAGGAAGCAGCTAACTATGTTTAGGATGTGTAGATTTTGCCAAACGTATTAAAGTCCTCCTTGAGGAGGAGAAGTTGACAACTGCAAACTTTCAGACCGCAGATCTGCAAGATCACATTTCCCCATAGACGAAATCTTGCTGATGACGGGCTTCTTCTAAAATTGTTTATCGCATAGGATTTATGACGGCCATCATTTTTTATTGCTAACATTATTTTTCTATCAATATAATAACAACAAATTAAATATCAGAAGCCAAGGATAATTTGTTATATTCCAGATAGAAGTTGAAGCTCAGATGGATCAGCGCATTCCTCTGCTCACAATGGTCCCCATGCCACCAATCCCCTTTAAACCGAAGCCACCTGCGTGGACGAGAATACGTCCCTCACAAGTATGAGTTCTCAAGAGTTTCTCCTCCACCTCCAAAGCATCTACAATATTTACGTAATTTTCAGGTGGACCTCATCTCCCGCGTTGCCTTCCCTTCATTTTTCATCTTCTTTCACATCGTCTATTGGGGTTTTTACCTTAATGTCACAATTTGAATCAAATCACTCATCTCAACTACTTTCATCTCAGCAGAGAATTGCTCAACAACAAAGATCTCTTTATGTTTACCAAAAATTTGTCTCCTCTCTGTATTCCATCGCATATCCATCTCAGAGACTTTACCCACTTGAGGTTGTTTCTTAAGTGCCTTTATATTACCCTGCACATGTACATTTTTCCTCAGAAATCTATCTAATATCCAAAGCACAATAAATAAGCTCGTTATTAACAAAACAGACAAAAAATTGCATCATAAGAAAAAGAAGCACATGGTGCATACTTGGGAAGATCGTCGATCACTAATCATAACATCCATTTCAGCAAAAGTTGCTTCGTAGTTGACGTCGATGCCTACGCATATAGTTCACTGCAGTTTTGAGATCTGTTTTCACGGTGCAACTGAAAACAAGTTTCTCATAAAAATTGACAAAGGAGTATTGGAGACAGTTTTTATGCAATCGCTGGCTCTAAATACAGTGAAAATAAATGATCTTAAAAGCCTCAGTTAGGAGAGAGATACGAGTTTTTAGCGAGGTAAGATATAAGAAAACTGGTCTCTATGGTCATATTAGCATTTATGCTGAAAGTTGAGTTTGCAAATAAATGACCTTAAAGATCACGAAACGCTATTGGAGGATTTTTCATAATTTTAAAAGGGTGTTTCATGTTGGTAAAAGCAAATTTGAGAGTGATGCCAATCTTCAGGGTTTCAAATATTTTAAGTTACATTTGCAATCGGCAGCTTATGTGAACTCACCTGCTGAACCCCGTATCGTCAATATGTGGCTCCGGATACGCGAACTCAGGACATTTCTTCCCTAAAGAGTAAATGTAATTCGAGGTCAGATTTGAAGAAAAGCTACTAAGGGGAAAATTTTTTCAACTTACAGCATTTATTGAACAGAAAGTGACTTCCCTTCTCACACATACATCTTGACCCTTTATCGTTTTTTTCGCACATCGTTGTTTCGCAAGCTCTTCTGCATTGATCGTCTAATATGCAACCGGTTTCATTTGGTTTTAATGCTGAATATATGAATTTCCACACTTTATATTCAGACTATTCCGTAACAAAAACATAAGCTACAAATCCTAAACCAAACACTAAAAAA